CGTTGCTGGACACGGAAAAAAAAAAAAAAAAAAAAAAAAAAAAAAAAAAAAAAAAAAGAATATCTTTTGTTACTCATCAAAGCTTAGGAAAAGATGTTACTCTTGAAAATTTAACTTTATTTTATAAGAAAATCACTTAAAACGTTGTTTTTTCTGTGTAGGGAATAACTATCCGACCACTGGTGGAGTTTCTTGATGTTAAGAGATCCAATAAGAAAGAGCAAGCTGTCAGTGAAGAAATCCATTGTCGGGTAGGTGCTAACACAGCGCAACAATTTAAATAATAAAGAAAAAATTGTTTGAATCAGTTAAACAGCTTTACACCAAGCTGTTTATTTCCTGAAGGCCAGGAAAATGTCAGGGGTGGGAGGGGAGGGAGGCCTGGGGCAGGTCTGTGCTGGGGAGTAAATAAACACAGCCCCAAGGTCGCTTCCCCAAAACTCGTGCATGAATCGAGGGACAGGAAGTCCCCTGTTTTTACTTTCCTCAACCTGAAAATGTTTCTATTATGAAATCATTACCATACGTCATATTTTTCAAAATTTTGAGCAGATTGTTATGATGAGGAAAATCATCTGAGAACTGCCTAATGCTGATATGACAAATATTTCACCTGTGTGTTTGCAGATGCATTGTTGCTTTATTGCATTCAGTAAAACAGACAACACCCAGAACCTATCAGAGTTTTTTGGGTGTTTAGATATGATATAAGTTGAGTGACAATTACTGATTTCAGGTTAAAACTAATCAATTAGCCTGCTTTTTCTGTTTTAGTTTTTTGATCATGTGAAGACTGGGATTGAAGATGTTTGTGGACATTGGGGTCACAACTTTTGGAGAGACAAGTAAGATGGCCTCATGCCATTATATTGTGAAGTAGCTCTGGGTCACCCTGGAAGCAGGACACATTGTTGTGTGTTATTTTTCAGAGTTGTAGATCTTTCCTATGTTGTACCATAGTATGTCCTATAAGGTAGAGTTCAGCTGTAACAGGTGTAGCTTAAACAGTGTAGAAGCTTATTTCTTTCTTAGGTAAATAGCCAGAGGCAGGCAATTTGGGTTATATAGTGGAGCTCAGACCCTTCTGTCTCGTTGGCCCATTGAGAGTGGCCGTTCCCAGGGCTGCCTCATGACCACGATGGTTGCTGCAGCGTGAGGCCCTGTGGACTGCACCTGTGAGGAAAGATACTGGAGGGACAGAGGATGTGTGCCAGCTGCCTCCTCCCCAAAGTTATCAGAAGTTGCCACGCAATTCTTCCACTGGTGTCGCATTGGCTAGGACTCAGCCACATGGCTGTTCCTTACTGCAAAGGGGACTCAGCAGTCAGTCCACTGGGGGTCCCATTACTATCCATTGAGCTACACGTGGTGAGGGGCTTTGTCAAATGCAGCGATTCAGAGTCCCTGAGGATGTATATGGACTAGCAGAAATAACAAATATATTTTTTAAAGGCTGCAATTATCTTCAAGATCACATACATTTATTTATTTATTTATTTTTTCCTTTTTGTCTTTTTTCCTGACTGGTAACGGGATCGCAACCCTCAGTGTCGCGCCCGTACCACAACCGGCAATGGGATCGCAACCCTTGGTGTCACGCCCGCACCACGCTCAACCAGTGAGCGGACCGGTCTCTATATGGGATCCGTACCCTCGGCGGGAGCGCCGCTGTGCTCCCAAGTGCTGCACTCTACCGAGTGCGCCACCGGGCCAGCCCAAGATCACATACATTTATATAAAACTGTCTGTCTCCCCCCCCCCCTCTCTCTCACACACACACACACACACACACACACACACACACACAATTTATCTTTTTGTAAGAGGCTCTTTAGTGGATCAATATTATTCAATACTTTCTTCAAGGATCTTGTGGTTGAAATGCAAAAAGTAGTCCAGCAGGCAGAATTAGATGCATGCTTTAATATAAACTGAAAAACTGAGTTATGGGATCAAGGAGTAGGATTCACTCTGACAGCAGAGTTAGGAACAGCGGGGCACTGGAGCCACCTCGCACCAGCCAGTGGGGCCCATCACGAATCTCTTCCTGACCTCACATTCAGCACCATCTACTACGGTCACTTGAATCAGCCACACTGGGAGTGTCTATGCCATGGAACTGACAAATGCTACACACAGATCAGGGCCTTTTTTTTCTTTTTCTTTTGGCAGGTGGCTGTACAGGGGTGGAACCCTGGACCTTGGTGTTACCAGCAACTTGCTCCAACCAACTAAGTGGCCAGCCCTGAGCCCTTTTTCTCATAGAGCCGTCTGTTAAATCTTTATCAGCACCTCACTGGCTAGGCAAGACTTTTGAAGAAGGTGGCATTTAAGCTGGTCCCTTAAGACAGAAGAACATGTTCTAAACACTATGTGGTAGATCTTGCCTTTTCTTTTATAACTTGCTAACAAACTTCCTTTCTCCCACTGCTAGTTTACATGAAGTTGACCAACCTACCAATTTATATAATTTAACATAAGGGAATTTTTTAGTGTGTCCTGTTTGCTCACATGTGCTGATGTGATACTGAGCTACATAAGAAATATAAGCCATACATTCAGGCCTATAAAATTTTGCAACACTATAGAGAAAACAAAACAATCACACAACAGGTGTGTGTGCATGTGTGTGTGTGTGTGGTATCATTAAGTAATACACTGAGTTACAAAGACTTTAAGAGCTGGAACAAGCTTTACAAGCGTTACGACACAGTTTAGTAATGTTGAGAGGCCCCTTGGACTTGGCCTTATTTCCTAAATAAAGGGAGGTATTTTATACTTATGTAGAGAGTGCCCAGGTAGCCACACGGGAGTATAAGGTCATAAAATAAAGCAAACTAAAATATCCATTGTAAAAATATGAAAAAAAATGGCCATGTCTCTTAGGACGTATTCACCTTTTTTGGAGGCACGAGGTAGACCAGAAACCCCCATATGCTTGTCTATGACTTTCTGCCCTACCCTAGTTCACATCCTGGGACCTTCCTGACATAGATGGGTCCTTGCCTGTGCCAAGCCAGTGAAACAGACCTTTGGCCTCTCTTCTTCCATTGTTTTCATGGCATGACTATTTCCCACCTATCCTCGCCCTTCCAGCCTAACCACTCTTTTCCCTTTCTCTAGCATCCTATCAGTCCTTTCCTGAAGGGACTGGTAAGAGACATAACCCAGAATAGCTTGTTCCCTTTCAAAGGTGAAGACTGGGCTCAAGATTTCTATTGCTTCTGTGTAGGGGAAAAAATAGATATGAGTAGGTGGAGGAATCAGGTCTCCCGGCCCCGGGGTACTGTCAGAGGAGGGGACAGGTGAAGTCTGTGATCATGGGGGTTTGGTCAGGAGCTCAAGCAAAGGAATATCAGGGAAAGTCTGGCTGCGTCTTGTCTTTCAGGCAGAGACGCTCTGTCTCTGGGGCCCATGAGTGTTCCAGGCAGACATCTAAAGGCTGCCAGGCCAGTTGGGCTGTGAGTGGTAAAGGTGGCAGAGCCAACTTTGGTTCCTGTCTGAGAGGTAATGCTGTTACCTGTCTAACATTGTTCTCTGCAGCGTATATACTTCATTTAATAATTTCATATGCATTTATATATTTCCATGCACGATTCTTTCCAGGTAAATTTCAGATAGTTACCTGGGTTGTTGCATGCACTGTGTATCGTGGGTAGAGCAGGGAAGAGGGTTTGGAGGGATTTGGTGTTGACACAGTCCATTTTTAAAATGAGTGCTGCTCAGATCACATCTCTGGTATGTACATAACAGTTGATGTTACTAAAAATGACATAAAAAATGATTGTTCTAGGCATAATGGGTATCTTTCCCTTTCCTATGAAATCCTTATGCTGTGGTCCTACCAGAGAATTCTTGAGGCATTTGATCCTTTGAGAATGAAACGAAAGGGACATTTCTCAGACCTGGCAGAAGAAATCTAACAATGGTGAAAGAGAACACCAGTGTGTCGCTTGGCAGAGAAATGAAAGGTGTGGAAATAAAACAGAGAGAGGAGACACACAGTCCCTACACGAAGTAGACCAGATGCCGTTGTCCTGGGTGTTTGTTCTTGCTTTGGCTTACCTCTAGTGAAAAGCTACAACAACAATAATATAGGAAGTTTAAAAAAGATGTGTTGCTGCCAGGAGTCCTGGTTCAATGGGCAGGACATGAAATTCAAACTAGACGTAGAAAAAAGTAGGTCCAGTCTTTAGTGTAGTGGCCAATCACAAAGCACATTCAAGGATGGCTCTTTTTTAATTATTCAGAGCCCTCCAGTATTTAGAACAAAGGACTAGTACCGGGAATGTGGGTTAACATTCAATCCTTTCGCTGCACAGGTGTGACTTTAAACCTCCTGCTGCTTATGGTGATCACTGTAATACACTTGTTTTTTCCTCAACAAAAATTTATTGCATGCCATTTCACTTATATATTTGCATAATAATGTTGCATAAAAAGCCACCCCAAAACTCAGCTGCCCCCAAACAACAGTCATTTATTTATTACTCCCGCACGTGAGTCAGGAGGCTGAGATTCAGCTCATCTGGGCTGGTCTTTCTCCTGTTTTGGTGGGTGGGCCAGATGCCAGCTGATCCCAATGCCTTGTCTGGTGTGACTGGGGTGAGTTGTCTCTGCTTCATGTGGTGTTTGTCTTTGTCTTGGGACCAAGGAGCCACTCTATGCATATCCTTCTCATGGTGATTGCAGAAGCACAAGATGCAAGCTTCAGTGTTTGAGCCCAATTAAGCCTCTGCGTCTGTCATCGAGTTTACCAATAGCACATCGACCAAAGCAAGTGAAACGCTATTGAGCCAAGTTGCAGGGACAGGGCACGACAGGTCACCCAGGCCGTGGACATTACCAAGTGATATGGCAAAGGGAGCAGACACAGGGAGGAATCGAGACCAAATGATGAATTCTACCACATGTGCTTATCGTGTGCCAGGCACTGTTCTAGGCACTGGTTATATAGGAAGAAAAAATATCTCTGCCCATCTAGACCTTACATTTTAGCACTCAGAGATGGAAAATATGATAAATACGTCAATTATATAACATGTTAAAAATGATAACTGCTGCTCAGTGTTGACCACTGAGCCTCCTCTGGAAGTGCCCAGGCTCCCGAGCCAGGGTGGCAAGGGGGGCGAGGGCCTCCATCATGGTTCCCTGACATCTGTAGCCAGCCCAGCGACAACCTAGCCGCCACCAGAACTGCTCTGGTCTCCCCTGCTGGAATGAGGGGCATGCCATGGGCCTCGACCAAGCCCCCCCTCCTTCCTCCTCCCACCCTATTTCCTTCCCTCTTCTCCTCTCCCCCTCATACCCCAACTGCTCTGCAACATTTTAGAATGTGAAAAAATAATAGTATTAATAATTTTTTTTTTAATGATAACTGCTAGGGAAAAAAATTACGTATGTGAAGCAAGATAGAAAATGTGTGGGGAGAGGTGGCATGCAGTTCTAACAGCACGGATGGGAAATGGTCTTTTGTGAAGTTGACTGTTGAAAAAAGACTTAAAGGAGGTGTATGCATGAGCCCTGCAGGGACCTGGGGGAAGAGTGTTCCCCTTAGAGGAAATAGTGAATATAAAGGCCCAAGGTGGGAGCACAGCTGATGGGGCTAAGACAGGAAGGACCCTGTGAGGCTGCATGGAGGAGAGGAGCACGATGGCACAGACCCAGAGTGTGCAGGGCCTCATGGCCATGTGTTTTACTCGAGTCACATCATCTGACTTACAGTTTAATAGGAGCACCCTGGCTTCTGCATTGAGGGGGGCTGTAGGACCACAGTGGTGGAAGCAGGCACACCAATTAGGTGCCCATTGCAAGAATCCAGTGAGAGAGAGTGATGTCTAGGACCAGGTGATGGTTGGAGTTTGTATGTGTTTTGATGGTGGAACGAGCAGAAATAGCTGGTGGGGCCGACGCGGAGTATGAGGCTGCTGGGGCTGCTGTCACAGAGTTTCACAGATTGAGGGGCTTAAACTGTGAGAAGTGGATTCTTTCACAGTTCTGGGGTCTCAGAGAGCAAGGTATCAGCAGGGTTGGCTCCTTCTGAGGCCGTGAGGGAGGGATGCGTTCAGGATTCTCTCCTTGGCTTGTAAGTGGCTGTCTCCTTCCTGCCTCTTCATGACGTCTTTCCTTTTTATGTGTCTGTATCCAAATTTCGTCTTCTTATAAGGACCCCAGCCGTGTTGGATTAAGGCCCACCCTAATGACCTCATCTTAATCTCCTCTGGAAAGGCCATATCTCCAAATATAGACACATCCTAAAGTCTTGGGGATTAGGGCTTTAACATAAGAATTTTGGGTGGAACACGATTCAGCCCATAACATGAAATATGAGAGAATGAAGGATGACACCAGGGTTTTTGATTTGTGGGGACATCATTAGCTGAGACAGGGAGGACAGTGGGAGAAGATGAGTGTAGTTTGAACATGACAAGTTTGAGATGCTTACTAGATGTCCAACTGGAGGTGTTGAGTAAGTAGCTGAATATTCATGAATATTCCTGTCTGACGCTGAGCAGAGAGGTTGGAGCTGGAGATGCAAATTTGAGAGTAATTGGCATGGAGATGCTGTATTAGAAGCTATGAGACTGGGCACGATGGCCCAGGGAGTAAGTGGAGGAAGGGAAGCTGACCAAGGGCCGAGCCCCAGGGCACTCCGACATTACGAGCAGAAAGAAGAAGTGGCCCAACCAAAGAGGTAGGAGGGTGGTGTCCTGGAAGCCAAATGAAGACAGTGTTGTGAGCAGGTGAGGCCAGGAAAAATGAGCACTAATAATTAACCACTGGACTCATCCTGTGGGGTTCATTGTGACCTTAATGAGAGTAGCTTTAATGGAGTGTTGGAGGCAAAAGCCTAATCTGTGAATGTTCAAGAGAGAATAGAGGAGAGGACTGGAACAGCAAATATCAACCACAATGTTGAGTGATTTTGCTAAAAGAGGAAGTAGAGAAATGGGAGATTGGGAAATATATCTATTTTAATATATCATTATTGAATACTAGATAATGGTATGTCATGGCCATATACAAAAATTTACCAGTATGTGCCATATAAATATATATATATATATTATATATATATATATATTATATATATTATATGCACATATGTACAGGCATGCACATATAAAAATGTATGTAATGATCAGACTAGCTAAATACTGTTTCTAAGAGTCTCCCATGAAAGTAGTGGAAATAATTTTATTGGTAGCATAAAAATCTTTCTTTTCTTCATCAGTGCAGTATTAATTAATTGAAAGTTTGACTTTATTCTCAGGTTTAAGAAGTTTGATGATAAATACCTGCGGAAGCTATTGATTCGGGAAAACCAGCCCAAGTCCAGCATTGTGTCCTTATATAAAAAGCTTGAAATAAAACATGCCATTGAGATGGCAGAGACTGGCATGATAAGTGCTGTATCTTCTTCTACATCTCTAAAGTAAGTATGGATTTGCAAATAAAAAATTAGTCTTACTAAATGTCTTTATAGTTTTTTGAAACCAGTAATAAAAAAATATTTACCTATGTCCTAGACAGATGCCTTAATTTCTCACAGCAGAATCAGATTTCGGTTAAAATGTGAAAGCCTAGAAATGTGTCTGTTATGCTATATTATATTATGCTATATTGCTGTGTTATGTTACCTTCAAATTGGCTAGTCAGAAAATCATGTTTAAGGTGATTATTTCTTTACTATGTTTGCTCTGGGAAATTCAGTGCTTATTGAAAGTAAACTAAAGCCCTCTTAGCAAGCATTGTGAAATGGAGTATTTTAAGGTGTATTATATTTGCTACTATAAATATGCATGTAATTGTATAGCTATTTTCTGACAGATTATTCACAGGATCACAGTTGAAGGCTTAGAGAGAACAGTAGTGATCATCTCGTGCAGTGAGTCTCAACTCAGCCCACACATTAGAAACACCTCAGGAGCATTTAAATAATACAGATACCTGGGCCCCATTCTGGACCAATTAAATCAGAATCTCAGGTACTGAGGCCCAGACAAAGGTATATATAAAAAAGTTCTTTAGATGATTCTAATATGCAGCCAGTATTGAGATCCACTGATCTAGTCTGTCTCCCTAATTTTAAAAACAAGGAAATGAAGACTTTGAATGTTGAAGTGACTTACCCAAAGTCCTACCCCAAAGTCAGTAGCAGAGCCATCAATAAAATAACACTAAGTTGATGAGTGATATTATTTTATCATGTAAGCATCATTCCTTCTAAGTCACAAAAGTGACAGAAATTACAGATTGCCATTGATTTCTTCCTCCACAATGAGCTTGAAGCTCATTTGAATTAAATTCCACCTAATTAAAATGTTACATATGGGAAGGTTGAAGTGAGAGAGGAGGAAGCTCCATATACCCAGTCATGTAAACTATGATTTTTACTAGGACTCTAAGTCCACTGTAAAATTGGGAGTTTACACGGTCCAGGATAAAAAGAATTAGTGGTTAAGATGGCTTGGAGGTAAAGGCATTATATTTCATTAGAAGAAGCAGTGAGTGCAGCAGTACAATGACTGACTTATAGCCCCAGCTCTGCAAGTAACTTACCATGTGACCTTGAGTTGGTTCATCTATTTCCCTGAACTTGGCTGGACTTGATCTTTAAAGTTCCTTCTAGCTTTAAAATTTTATGATCTACTCAATTATCCAGCTTTTCTTTTTTTTTTTTTTTTTTGTCTTTTTTCGTGTCCGGCAACGGATCGCAACTCTCAGTGTCGCGCCCATACCGGACCGGGACCGGCAACGGGATCGCAACCCTTGGTGTTGCACCTGCACCTCGCTCAGCCAGTGAGCGGGAACCGGTCTGTATGTGGGATCCGAACCCTCGGCGGGAGCGCCGCCGCACTCCCAAGCGGCGCACTAGCGCATGCGCCACCGGGCCGGCCCCCAATTATCCAGCTTTTCAAAGGAGAGTCATTGTCTTCATGATCTCAGATGAGGCAGATCTCAATTTTACTCTCTGCTTACAGTTCATTTTGAAGCTGGTAGTAAGCAGAGTAAAAGTGAAGGTTTAGAGTTAGGGAAGTAGGTAACAAAATTAATGGCTACCTTCATAGTTGGATAAATGGATGCCATATTGACATTTCACCTTTCTAAAATATTTCCCTAGAGGAAAATAGAAACAATAAGGAAGGTAATAAGAAGTTGTATCTGTGGCAATAGTGGACCGACTATTCCAGATTAAATCATCTACTGAAAATAAATAGGAAAAAAATGTGTATTAAAAATCTACTTGAAATCTAGGGAGTGTCAGGGCACAAGAGAAGGAAGCCCAAGAAGATGGAACTGGCATCTGGGGCATTTTCTCCTGGGAACTATCTATTGATTATAGAGAAGGTGTCTGACAGTCTAAGAGGCTAAACAGAAGTTTGACAGGTTAATTGTTCTTGGAGAATAAAATTGGAATTTAGGACCTATCAAGAAGGAGAAGCTGTTATACCTAACTGTGGGTGTCACTTCAAAGCACTACATCCTAAACCTAAAAGGAAAGAAGTTCAGCCTAGAATTATCTCAATCCATCCATGGTTGTTGAAGTTATCTGAGATTGATAGTATCACTATCATAAATGCTTGAGAGGAGAAAAAAAATCATCTATGGAGGAAATTAAAATTTATAAATAGCCTTAAACTACTTCTAAGATTTTTCATAAATAATGTCTATCGGCAAATCAAAAGTTAACCACACATATGAATAGACAAGAAAATGTGACATAGAACATTGAGAAAAAGAGAAACAAAACAAATAGTAGTAATAGGCACAAAAGGGATTGAGATAATTAAGTTATCAGACAGGGACATCAAAATTAAAAATATAAATTTAAGGAAAAAATGACACAGATACTTTTGGCATTGTCATGGAGATTTTATAAACAAAAAATGATCTAAGTAGAAATTCTTGAGCTAAAAAGAAAGTAACTGAATTTAGAATCTTATTTGATGGGTGTAACAGCAGATTCGACACAGTTGAAGAGAGAATTGATTAATTTGGAGAGAGTTTAGAAGGAAATAACCAGAACAAAGCACAAGTGAAAAAATAAAAACATGAAAAATATGAAAAAGAAAGTAATAAATGTGTGGTATAGGTAAAAAGGTTCAGAAGGAGATGAAAGAGAAATGATTGGCAGAAACAATATTTTAAGAGAGAATGAGAAATTTTCAAAAGTGACAAAAGACACAAAGTATGACAAACTCCAAGCAGATAAGATAAAAAAAAAGAAAATCAAATCCAACTACATATTAGTAAAATTCAAAATTTGCTTAAAATTCAAACATAAAGAGAAAATCTTAAACATACCTGGGGGTGGGGGGACGACTGGGAAGACCCATTTTCTGCAAAAGAAAAAGAAAAAAAAACCTGACAACTGACTTTAAACAAAAGCAATGGACACTAATAATATCTTCAAAATCTCGAAAGAAAGAAACTGGAAACCTAGAGTTCCATATTAAAATGTCATTCAAAAAAGGTAGAATAAAAGCATTTTCAGACAAATATAAACCATCACACTAAAGTAAACACTAAAGAATTTCATATAGAAGGAAAGAATCTCACAGAGAAGCTTGAGGACGAAGAAATTAAAGACAATGGAAATGGTCGATATTTAGGAAAATCTAAAAGATTATTAATTGTATATAATAATAATAATAACTGTGGCATTTAAAACGTACATAAAATGAAAATTAGCAACAGTAATAGCTTATAAATGTGGAGGTGCTAATGTGTTCTAAGGTCTTCGTGTTGTCCAGAAAGTGGTAAAAAATAACTTAATTTGGAGTTTTGTAAGTCAATGATTAATGTTGTAATCCAAGGTAATCCCTAAAAAAAAAATAGTAAAATGTATGTAACCAACAAACCAACAGAGAGGAAAAATGAAATAACAAAATAAAATACAGTCTTGTGCCACATAATGACAGTTTGATCAAGGATGGGCCACATGTCAGACAGTGGTCCCATAAGATTACAGTGGAGCTGAAAAATCCATATTGCCTATTGACATTATAGCCCTTGTAATGTTGTAGCACAATGCGTGATTCACCTGTTCTCTTGATGCTAGTGCAAACAACCTCCTGCAAAATATGTTGAAGAGGGGTGCCTGGCTTACCCATGGGGTGACCCTCCCAAAGGCAGCTCAGATCGCCAAGCACTTGACACATTAGCATCTAATCCCAAGTGAAAGTGTTGTTGTCTACTTTAGAATTCTTGCATTTTAAAATTATTGCCACCCATCCCCATAGCAAAATAATAGTTAATAACAGTTAGCAAGGGAGGAGGGGGAAAGGAGAGGTTGGTAAAGGGAAACAAAGTTACAAAGTTACAGTTAGATAAGAAGTAGTTCTGGGGCTCTAGGGTGACTCTAGCTAATAATATTGTAATTTATATTTCTAGTTAGCCAGCAAAGAGGATCTTGAGTGTTATAACCATAAAGAAATGATAAATGTTTAGGTGATAGATATGTTTACTATTCTCATTGGATCATTATATGTATACACATGTATTGAAACAACAAACTGTACTTCATAAAAATGTGCAATGAAATAAACAATTTTTAAAAAATTTTGAAAAATAACAGTTAGCTAACACATACTGAGGGATTACTGAGTGCCAGGCACAGTGCCTACCTGTAATTTAATTTTCAGAACTTTGTGAAGGTGGTATTATTTTAATCCCCACTTAACATGAGGAAAGTGAGGCACAGAGAGACTTAGTAACATAACTAGAGAGCCCAACACTCACGCAACTAGTGGCATGTGTACATCATAGAAAAATTTATATACACTTCTGCACAATGATGAAATTGCCCAACAATGCATTTCTCAGACCATTCCCTGGTGTTAAGTGATGCATGACTGTAAATTCAAAAAGGGCGAAAAGAAGAGAAAAAAATCAGAACAGGTAAGATGAATAGAATGTAAATAGTAGGATGACAGACCAACTCGAAGGTAATTAATTACATTAACGATAAACTTACTAAACATTTCAACTAAAAGGGAGAGAGGATCAGAATGGATAAAAATATAAAACTTACTAGATGTTGATTATAAGAGTGTACATAAAGATATAAAAAAGTTACAAATAGAAAGATGAAAAAAATGATATACCATGAAAGCAATAAAGAAAGTTTGTGTAATAGTATCAGAAAATGCAAATGTTAAGGGAAAAAGCATTGCTCAAGATAAAGAGATATTTATCATGATGATAAAGTTTCCATTTTACAAGAAGATAGAACAATTCTAAATTAGTACACAAATAAATAGCATAACCTCAAAATGTACGAGACAAAACTTGACAGAACCACAAGTAGAAATACACAAATTTATAATTATAGTGGAATTTTATAACACTTTCCCCCCAATAACTGATAGAATAAACAGGCAAAATTTCAGTAAAAATATAGAAGGTTTCAACACCACATATAATAGATAC